ACGTCCACAAATTTCAAATGCCTTTCGTTTTTTTATTTATTGTCCGATTTCTATAATTCAAACACCAAAGTTCATGGTTTGCATAGTTCTTTATGATGCAACACACATAATATGTATGGTCAAAGCACTTTGAAAATGCACCCCGCTTAATTTTGCAGACTTTGATATTTTTTTCATAATTCTGATTATTTTCCTTTATCATTCTTTGTTAAAATTAACAGAATCGCATAATTTCACATTTTTGTGCTCAGTTTGCATAATTTCTGAATTTTTCTTGCTTAAAACGAAGGGGACAGACTTATTCCACACAAAGGGGGCCCGTCAAACCCTCATCTAGAAATCAGTCGAATATATGGCTGGTGTGCAAGCCACAGTCACAGCATGCAGGCAAGATATTGGGTATGGATCTTGTACCGTACTTTACTGTGCCTACAGCAAGTGTAAAACGGTTCCTCGGGTTGACGACAGTTACACATAGTAAGTTATTTAAAGGGTAGCGGTGCGAATCCTGCTAGAATGCACCCCAAAGTGGTCTAGTTGAAGGAACATTTAACGAGGTCAAAGAGGATTTTGGACCCAAACAGGTGTCTGTCCCCGCGGTTTTATGCAAAAAGTCTAAGTTAGCAAAATTTGATCATTTTTTGCATATTTTTTTATATTGTTTTCCTCATTCTTTGTTCATATTAACAGAATCACATTATATGCCATTTTTTGGTTCAGTTGCATACATGTAATTTTAGATATTTTTTTCCTTAAAACTGCGGGGACAGGGGTGTGAAAAGAAAGAACAGGGGGTAACAACAGAAACTTGATAAAATAAAAAAATTGTTACTTTGCTAATTAAAATTACATTGAAACTTGACCATGGCATACAGGTGGTGTAGACATCACTAGTTAGTAGCCTATGTCAAACAATACGCTTGGTGCTACTACTTCTAAAACTAAACGGTTCATAGTCCACCATGATCTATTTCCAAGAATTTGAGTGAAATTTCTCTGATATCGTTTTACGTGTTGACAGAAAACTGCAGCATCGTTTGAATGATTGATTTAGTTTTGAAGGGCCTATTTCATGAAGCAAATAGACTCGTTTTCTGCATATTCTTAGTGCAGGTTCCCCCCAGGGCGGTGCCACTAACTGAAGTGTCTCTGGGCCATTCCCAAGGGGGAGGGGGGGCATTTCTCGTTCTAATGCACAGTAGAATTGTAAATGGGATGATCCAACAATGTCATGCTCATCATAACTGTGCCTGAATTAC